TCACAGCATATGAGACTTGCGTAGTTACGTAGAGAAAACGTTAAGTGTTGAAACCGCACACAGTGTGTCGAAACTGGCTACCATGCGTGAAGCTATTACTACCGCGAAGATTACTTATAATGTAGGAAAAGCAACTGACCCACCCTGTCTCTCTCTCTGTCACGAACGTGCATTATATTCTTAATCTCCGTTAGTGCTCCTTCGCTTTACTAATTGTTATTCGTACTACACCAACATCACCAAAACCACACTATGTCTGTCTCTGTCTGAAGCTTCTGTCTTACCCCTATTATATACTCTATTGACATTCCAAGCCGTAGAGGAGCGGTTACAAGCGTGCGAATGCTTCGGCAAACTCGCTCGCGAACGGTTCAGGACTGTTGCGGACCATTCCTAATTGGGTAACTATTACGAAACTATTTTCGACCCCCGTAATCGCGCGAAGTTCTGCTTCCTTTGGCGTCGAAATGAGTCGCGGAGCGATCGCTGATGAGAGGGTGGCTGTCTGTTGATTTATTTATTTATTTTTTTTTTTTTATGATTATTTTCTATCTATATCGATTGTTATTCAGATGATGATTTACTGAGAAAAAATTCTGGTTAAAAATGGAGGAACCAGAAGATTTTCGATCATATCGATCAGAATTCTGATTATCTTCACTGGAATGGATTCAAGTAGAATATTTAGATTTGTCCATTTTGAACAAAAATTCTAATTAATGCAACCAGACACAATTTTTTTATTGCAGTAAACGAAATGCAACCTGATACAGATCTTGATGACGTAGAGAAAAAGGTATTAGACTAGGTTGCATTTTGCGAATAATTTCAATTATTTTGATTGTATATTTTTTCGATGTATTTTTTTCAAATATGTATGTATCGTCGAGTTAATTGGAACAAAGGTAAGAACAATGATCTTCTAAAAAGTATAGTAATTTACGCAAAAGACTTTCTCTAATGAATATTCTGTTATTTCGTTCTACTTGTGAAATCATTTTCATTGATTTGATTTTAAATGATTTGGTTGAAGTGTTTTATTATTTTTTTTAGAACCATAAATTATAATTAAACCTAGTATTGCTAATTAACATTAACTGATATTCTTAACCTGGAAATAGTCTGATTTTTTTTGACATAAATGATTACGTGATGTCATTATATCCCAATTAAAATCACTATTAACAACATAGATTGTGTCACACAATTATTAACATATATTATTGATTTTCAATTTATTAGTATTTGAGAACATTATAAATATAGATTTAATTACAATTTTCTGAAAAAAAAGTAGAAACCAAACAAATTTTAAACTGGAAAAGCACGTTAAATAGCTTATTATGACAGTATTTTAAAAAAATTAAGATTTTAATTTGTATGGCGCTTTTTTTATTGTGAGTTTTCGACGGAATTGCATATTTAAATAAATAGTTACTAGAGAAAAAAAAAGTTAAACAATATCCAAAACAATATTTTATAACGAAACAAAATTTTTTCACGTCTAGGATATAAAAATATCCCAGGTGGCCATTCCCGAATTAAAATCGGACATTAGTAAGTAAAGAAGAATAAAAGATATTGAAATATTTTTAAATAGTAAGTGGCAATTGACCGAGAAATAACCAACACAAATAAGCGAAGACAGCCATATTTATTTATAATTAAACAAATCTTGGTGTTTAATAATATTTTTGAATGTAACTTACGATTTTCAGTTTAAATTTGATAGAATATGATTTGCTTTGCTCATTTGTATTTTTAATGATCCTTTTGGCCCTATCCGCCATTACTATGAGCCTGTTCTTGTTAGCTGAACTTCTTACACGATTTATCTTTTCTCTTTTTCTTTTGCTCCACGTTGGAAAGAAAAAGAGAAAAGATGAACTGTGCAAGAAGTTGAGTTAAAAAGAACAAATCTCATATCTTATTGTTTCGTTCTCATTTGCGATCGCTCCCGGTCAAACTTAGATCGCAAGGGATAATGACGCTCGTTATTAGCGTCTCTAACACCCTCGAGATGATGAAAGGAGGCTCTGTCATCTACAAGGACGTTCGCGCGTTGTCCGCATTCGGTCGTGTTGGTTCCGATTACGAACTTTATCACGAAACCCCACAAATCGCCGTGCGGTAGGTAGGTACGCATAAAATTGATGTAGATTGCGCATGTGATGACGGTAACTGAGTCCGTATAATTCTAGCTTGCACTATTCGATGGTATAGCGAAATTGTGAGAGAATTTGAAGTCCCTTCGACATACTCTAACAACATTCCTCCCGTTTAGCTCAGTTTACCCCCGATGTTTAACTTACGAATTCGGGTGAAATGCAACCAAGTCGACAGGCGAAGGAACTCATGTCACGGACAAAAAGAAAAAAAGGAGAGATAAACACATTCGCGGTTACTCTAAAAAAATTAAAATTAAAATTAAAAAAAAAACGCACATCTCTGTATAATCATAAAAACACGACTACAGCTACCAGAACAACGACAAGACCAGAAGTACGCCGACACTCAGGGGACACTCAATAAAGTTAAAAGGGGGACATACCGTAACACACCTCTGCGCGAAAAAAAAGAAAAAAAAAACGAATATACGGCGTGCTTGTGTGTTGCTGGCTTGCCTCCTCGCTTCCTGATAGAACGTCCTTCCCTGTTTTTGCAGCTTCGAGTAATCAGAGCGTTCAAGTCGACTCTGGAAGATCTGGAGGAGCGTCGCTCTGTCCATAGTTTACACAGCTTACACAGTATGCGCAGTTCACGCAGCCACACCGGGCCCCGACCACTCTCTGACTTCACATACATTGACGAAGACCCGACAAACACCACCACCACCACCGCGCAGAACGCCGCCTACAACAAGTCCTCTAATAGGAGTGCCGAGCCGATGATGAGTCAGGATTACGAGACAAACTACAAAGGATCCGCCAGGATGCAACAGTCCCTCAACAGCCCCGCCTCACCGTTGTTGCTGAGCGTGACCGGGCCGGCCAACGCGTACAATCATCATTACACCATCACCAATACCATCACCGACAATAGATCCCCCTCTAGTAACGCCCCTAATCAACCCTTGAGTCCCAACCACATGGCGCCGATGAGCAGCAATAGAGACAACACTGGGAATTCCCTGCTTCTGAGTTCCAACAACTTGGTTCTACCGGAGCTGACCAAGCTCGTGCACGAGACCAGCATCTAAAGACTTTCTCTCTCTTCTCTATGTATCGTCTCATTCCACAGCCTCCTTCCATCCTTTTCCATATTCTTTGTTCATCGTCTATTTGCGACTTAGAGCTTTATCATTTAACTTCATTCCCGTTGCCGTTTCTTGCTGTCTGTTTGTCCTTTAATTTGATATCCCTTATTTCATTTCCTTCGCCCGTCATTCTTCTCTCCCTCTACTGTGTAGAGGGACTTGTAAATACATATTCTATCCCTGTAATCTCTCGCCCTCATATGCATCGTGAGATCTCGCTCGATCTTGCGACCTCGTCTCATTCGATCGATAAAGCGAGGGTATCATTGTTCACATAAATGATATCGACACACTCTCGTTTCACGCGTTCCCTCTATTTCTTCTCTACACTTTCAAGATACGTCATCATTTATCTCTCTTTCCGGGAGCGTACTTACCGAACGATCTTGCTCGTTTCGGTCGCCGAGTTCTCTGTCCCCCTTGATTCTTTCTCTCTTCCGTCGTCCCTTTCTGCATCTCCGATAAAAAATTTTTTTACCACTCGCTCAATGGGGACGGCGGACCTGATCTGATCTCAAAGGGGTCGAAACGCGCCAATTTGGAGGATAATGCCTACACACACGAACAAAGCGCGACATTCGCAAATCACGTACTCTCGCTAAAATCGAGAATGCTGTACTAAGTACTTAAAACGGACGAGACTGCGGTCGGTGAGGAAGCAAGGAAGAAATGGTTGCCAAAATGGAGAGGGATTTTGCCCCGCGAATATCGCGACGGTTTGCGAATGGCACGTTTTCGTGCATGGGCTGTACACTATATCAGATGATATACAGGGGTCCCGCTTTCTACTGCTTTTTTCCCATACCCCGACTCTGTGTTCATTGGTGAAAGTACTATTTTCGCATTTTAGGGTAACGTTCCGGAGTTCCATCGTTCATTGAATGACGATGATACGGGCTGCGACGCGATTATCTGCTATAAAAAAAATAAAAACGAAATATAATTTCGATATATCACTTTGCCGCGTAACTTGCGAAATACTTCCAAACATTCCCGAAAACAGTCCATTAATTAATTATGCCATGATGTTTAATTAAATACATTTTTTATTACGTTATTTGACAAGAGATTTTCGTCTCAAGTATTGTATTTAACACTAGAAGTAGCAACGTTTTTTATTTAGTAAAAGACTAAGCGAATAAACGGTTATAAAAATAAAGAAAGTGATAAAAACGAAATATTTCGGTATAAAGGATACAATTATTGAAAAGTTCGAAAATTTTAGAATACTAACTTTTACATAAGAAATATAAATATCAGTGTAAAAGAGATCTAGTCAATAATGCAGTTAATAGAAATAGAAACGTTTCCAAATGCCACTACAAGATATTAGTAAACGGGATTAATTTTTCTAAGAGTTTTTCTAAATAAAAATTTTGTATATGTTTCGTTGAATCGGCAACAAATAGCAAGCTGCCGCAGCCCGTGTAAAGTCTGATATTATATATTAAACGACCAAATTGATTATCTCGGAGAGATGACGATGTCCGTACATGAAAATAGTATTTTATCCGTATACTTGACAAACGTAGACAGCGCTTAAGTGCTTGTCCGCTTATAAACCGACCTCGTACAACCGTTTACTTATTTATCCATCTACCTATTTTTACTACTGACTAATAATTGGTGATATAATAAAATTACAAAAAATTAGCCCTACTTAACTCTTTATGTATTATAGTGTATTTTTTTTACAGAAAAAAATTCTATAAAATAAAAAATGTGTATTTTCTCTCTTATCTACAAAAAAAAAACTATTTTTAATTGAACAATAAAAGTCTTATTAAAAAATTAGATTATGTATCCCATAAATATATCAAAAATAACTTTTTCTACATTGTGTGTGACTGAAAAAAGTATCCGATATCCTAAAAATCAATTTGTATGTAGTATTTCAGGAAGTCTTTTTACACTTGTGTTCGCCAATTTGACGGTCAGCAGTGATCACCCCCGTCATTCGTTTGCTTGCCTATTTGGGATTGAATGTGAATGTCTGTTCGTTTGATGACTGCGTGATGTGACCGATGACGATCCAATGGATTATCGAGGACGACAATGATGACGCTACCGGTGACAATCTACCTCGACAGAGATAAATTCTCGCGAATTAACACTTCTAACTGCCCTTCGCGAGTGCGACTAACAAAGAAGAGAAATTATCTTCCGCCCTCGTTCGGGGGATAAAAGACGCGCGTTTCGGCGCCGCTTCGAACGATAGTAATCGCTCGTTCGCGGTCGACAATCGAAAGGTATCCGAGAAGGTCCACTTACCACGAATCTTCTCGCGTATATGCGACGTCAGGAAACGTATACGCGACTCGAGGCTGAATGTACTTACATCTTCACCATCACGCCTCGATCTCTTCTCTATCTTCACAACTTCATCAACCGTCACTCTCGTGAGCGGGCCTGGTTCTACGTGTCGCTGGTCAAGCAGAAAATCAAGAATAATTAGCAAGTTGAAGCCGAAACGAAATGCAAGATACTCAAAAAGTATATTTTTCATAAATTTCGATTTAAAAAAACGCCCAATTTTAATCGCACAGTTAATTTTTATAAAGATTCTTTTACTATTCTCCTTAAACTTATAAATTTCGGAAATATTATTTTTTTATTACTTTAATATATCTTACAGAAAATTTCAGAAATATTAGATTTTAATAAACTATCCTTAATTTATAGCTTCTAAGTGTGCCATTAAGAAAATGAATGTTTTAAAGAGGAGTAACTAATTATTTCTAATGTTTGTCTATTAAAAAAAAAAAAATAAGTTCAACTAGACGTATGATCCCCAAGTAGGCCGCGTCACAGTACATCCGGCCCCGCCTCGAATCCTCTCTTCTCGGCGTGTCTCCCTCGCGTTCTGTGAAAACATTCATTCATCCCCTCTGTTTCTTTCTCTTTTTCTCTTGTCTATGTCTCTTCTTGTCTATTTCGAAGAACCGAATTCCGTCGGCGATTCTGGCGGATATAGGGCCTCAATTTCTTTCTTTCTATCCTTTTCTCTTTCTCTTTCTCTCTCGACTGCCCGAGACGAATCGCGGGGGCTCAGAGTGTTGGGAATCGTCGTCCGACAGAGAATCCCGTCCCCACTTTCTCGTTCGAGTGAAAAAGAAGAAATAAGAGAAATATAAGTAAGAGGAAAAAAAAGTTATTTAGCTGAACGTATGATGAGAAAAATAATGATGTGACCGGGAACTATATACATAGGACGGTTCGTTACCAATATTCTTCTTTGCCGAGCGACAGCGTCGAGTGTGATCGAGCGGCGAATAAATATATACGCGACAACAACGTACGACGATGTCGTTACGGACGGAGAGATGGAGGAGCATTCTCGCTCTTGATATTGTAATGTAAGTTAATTTAATTTTACTCAACTCGTCGCGCGCGCTTCTCTTTTTATTTATAAATCTTGTAACTTAAAGTCGAGGGAGTCCCTGTGCCGGGGAAGGAGCTGCGAGCGCGCCTTCCTTAATGAACGCGTCGACCGAAATTCGTCGTCGATCGGCATTCCAGGGAATCGCCACCGCCGTGAGTTTTCGTGGCCCCGGGATGATGTTCAAGCAGAGCACACAAATCACCGCGGGTGCTTTCCAATTGTAAAATCACTGGACACTTTCGTGTACACCTTCACGGAAAAAAAAGATTTGTTGAAACAACTAAAAACTTTACTGATTCAGCAAATCTACAGCTGTAATATACGGACTGCTAGTTTTCTATGTTAAATAATAAAATTGTACAGTTGAATAAAATTGAGTATTATATTTGTTGTAATAGTATAGCAAATTTGTTAATATAATAAGCTTATAATAAGCTGAATCACCTAAATCTATTTTTTTCCGTGTTGCGTTCCAATTGCCGATAATCGTCGAAATAACACTACACATCCGTACTCAGCCCGAAAGCTATTAGTCGGCTGTGTAAGCTTATGTTTTTAGTGACAATCAATAGTGACAACGTTATTAATTGCGACTATAAATAAAGTTGAGTGGCCGGCTTTTACTTTTTTCCATTCAATGCGGAAAAAGCTACATTTAATTTAACTCTATTCAAAACGTTGCACAGCGTATACATTTTGTTCCAATTGAGTCGCTACACTTTGTGCATTCCTGTATACATTCATGTTAAGATATGACAAGAAATTCGAAAGCACTCCATGATATTAACATAACGTCAAAATGGTTTCAAAATGATTACTAAAAGTCAATCATTTACGATTTATTTTAATGTCACTTTGACGTTATCAGGACTTGCTCTGCTTGGATGGAAATCGACGCACAATCACGATAGGCTTAAATTCCGACGCTATTTTATTATTTTGCTCTTTTAATCGTTACAACGCGATGCGAGATGTATTTTCCCTTGTCATAGCAGCGTTGGAAAATTCGAGCCGACAGAATTTATGTCGGTTCTGATTTCTGCTGGTTCTCCACGTTCCATTTTCCCGCGAAGAGGGAGTATCCCTCGTCCAGAATGAAGGAATGTACTTAAATTGTCGGATCTCGTTATCTACGTTATTTATCCCACTATTGTTCCTTTCTTCGGCTTTATCCGTTTCTTTGACCGTGTCTTCCTCGAAACGTCGAGGCCGGAACTCAAAGATCGGAAAAATTTACTTTACAAGTGTTATTTATTCTACGTGATAAGGTAAATTGACAGTAGGATAATTGTAGCTACGCAGGATTTTCCAATGACAACAGTAAAAATTCTCTATTTTCTATTTTTAATTTAATATTCATTAAAAATTTTGACTAATTTACTGTAACATTCATTATTAATTTTAACGTTGGAAATTACATCGCGGTGTCGCGATTATCCCAGTGTCACGATTATTCCTATCTTCTTCTCCTTCTCTCCAGCCTCTCGTTCGAGGATCGACGAGATACGCGAGATTCGATCGTCGGAAGATGGAACGTGGTCACCGAGGATCCTTCCCTTTTTTTTTCTTTTTTGTAACCAGTCACTTAAATCAAGAACGGTTTTTTTTTTTTTTTTTTTTTTTTTTACTAATTGTTGATTTTAAATGTGTGCTACTGCCAGCGCGTTAACCCACGTCAAGAAGGATAAAATAAAGATGCAAAAAATACAAATATAAGAACTAGAAGGAGCTGTGAAAAAGAAACTTAGTCGTTAGGTCTTCTCCTGGTTGCGACGTTTTCGACTGCCCCTGTATAACGCGACATAAGGGTCCTCCCGCTGAGCAGACATGAATATCGAGAAATCTGATCGAGCTGATCTGATAATCATCATCCGCGCAATGAAACTGAGTTTAAGAGCTACGCACCGTATAGTACAATTAACATAAGCTTATAAAGACACGATTGATTGCTCGGAAACGAAATAGTACTTGGAAGTAATCCGGAAATAGTTGAACGATCAATCTTTAATCAATACAGTCGAGATTCAAATATGATATTTGGTAATGAAATCACTTTGACTATGATCTTTGAGGGAAAAGATAAAAAATTGTCCAATATAATAAGATATACTTGGATAGAAAGAATGGTTTCGCTAAAGTTTAAAAATTTAATTAGATACAAATCTAAAAATAATTTTGTATCATCAAACTAAACATGTAGAAACTTAAGCGTTACTGACAATGTTACAAAAGATTTTAACATTTTAATAATCAATTTGAGCGTCTCACATAATTATTTTAATAATCAAAATAAAATTATTTTTAGATCTATATTTCTAAAAATAAAATTATTTTCAAATTTATATCTAAATTTTTAGGTATACTTCAGCAAAATTATTCATTCCGTTTAGATTTAAAACGATGGGACTTTATTCGAGTTGTTAAAATTTGAGAAGGATTGGAAATGTTGCTTTTAGTACAGTTTCAGAAATAATTTTCGGACGCATCGGCGGGTGGTCCTTATGACGTGGGTGCATATCGAATCTTGGTGCATGCCACTCTACAATTACTTCAATAGCATCGAGTTAGAGTTCCGTTCGCTCTTATAGTCACGTGAGGTCCGTATTACGTTTCTCGTTCCAACAGCTTGTCGCGCGCGTGCTAATCAGCTGCTTGAAGATTAGGGGAACCCTAGAAGGGACTTGATAAACCCATAAATATTTTAATTCTACCTGACTTATCCACTAATTTCCTACCATCTAGAAATGGCAAGAGTTTTTTGAAACTTTTTATTTTTTATCTTATCTATAAATTGTTCTATGTGTCCTTTTTTTAAGTACCTGCGGATATATAATTAAGTTAAAAATAATTCTATATGATTTATCCAACAGATTTCGTAATTTCCTATTATCTAAATTTCCTATTTTAAGATTCCCTAAAACTTTAATTTTTATTTTTTTGTTATTTAAATTCTTTGCTTTATGTGACCCTTTCTAAAAAATAATTCACTATGGATCATCTAATTGAGTTAAAAATAATTTTTAATTTTTTGGTCTAATGGATTTTGCAATTTTTTATTACCTAGAAATTTCGACATTTTTGGAAGCTTTAACTCTCTTTTTTTATCCAATATTCTGTTTTACGTAATTATTCTTTTTAAATTTAATGTCTACAATTCATTATAGACACCTAATTAAAAATAACAAAAGCACGAATTAACTTCTTTTTTTAATGGAAGTACAAAAGTAATGTGTTCGACAAAAGATTCATTCACGACAAACGTAACATGGGCCTTACAAGGACAAAACGCGCCACAAAGCGACGCAATCTGTGTATTTGAACAGTCTGCCGGTTCTACTTCCGACGAGATCTTGCGGACCTCCGACGTAATGGCTGCGTTCAGCAAAAAAAGCTTTTTGCAATTGTTACAAAATTCTTTAATGATTGGTTTTTCCCTTAGTTTCTCACTAGATCTAATCTCTATAATACACACTTCCAAGGGATGTTCTTGCAGACGTCCTACGGACATTCTACGTTCTAAGGTTGTTCCCAGAACGTCCTTCATGATAAAGTGTGCTGTATGAGACATGTATAAACCAATCATATTAAAGAATCTTACAATAGTTGCAAAGTTGCTTTTTCTGCTTAAACGCAGTCATTGTCGGTTTCCTTTCGGCCGGTGTGATAACGAAGAATCTCATTCACAATTGGCGTCGCTTCGCGTGCGAATGCGTTAATCCGTACGTGTCACGGCTCGCGATAAGACACGCACGCGTCTTGTAAAACTTATAGTAGGTCCGCACTATAGGCTGTGGGTCTGTATCAAATATCGCGATTTGTAGTAAACGAGAGAAGACATTCTGGTTTTTAATATCGACGCATTATATTAGTCTGTTATCGATGAACTCTAAGAGAGAGCAGATATATATATGTATGTATGTATATACATATATATATATATATATATAATATATAATATATTATAAATATGTATAGTTGAATATCAATTTAACGATATGCATAGGGAATATATATATTATTATTACTATTATTAATTATTATTATTGTTATATAAAATAAAGTTTAAGACAACGTTAATCAAATAACAAGTCCGATAAAAGGAGACCAGCGGAGAGGGTGATATCTGCGAATTTCTCTTGTACACCTAGTTCGCTTTCTTCCTCATTCTCCCTTCCCCCTCCCCTCTCCAGTCTTTCCCTTTTCTTATATTGTTATCGTTTACCACCCCCTCCGCTTCTAAAAGCAGGCGAAGTACATCGAGCTGCATCTTCGATGAATCGTACGAATCGCTTTTAGTCTCTCCTGCGCGACGCCGATGAAAAGAGGTGATAAATAAAAAAGAGTAAGAAGAAAAGATACGAATACGGTGATTCTGAAATGCGAAATAGGAAAATGGAAGAGAAGGGAAAGAGAATAAAACGTGTGTATGCGAGATAAGGGACCGCAGGCCACTGGTCCCGTGAAAACTTTTTCTCTCTCGATTCATAGTTACTTTATTCACGAAAAACAAGAAAGCTGCACAATGATCGATGATGGTCAATAAAACGATAAATCTTTTCCACGCTTGGCTTGTTGCTGAATCAATCTCTCTCTCTCTTTCTCTCTCTCTCTCTCTCTCTCTCTCTCTCTCTCTCTGTCTCACTTTATCTGTTTCTGTCTCTTTCTGATTTTCGTGATCCAAACTGATTTATCGAATCATTCCCCATCTTTCTCCTCTTTTTACTTCGCGATTTAATCCTCCTTCCATTCGATCGTCGAAACGTCTCCGTTTTGACGATTCGTTCTCAGCATCTCCGGACGACGCATGCTCCTTTTCCGATCGACCGTTTTTGACGTTTAGGTCAGCTGGAAAATATAGCGATCGAAAAAGTACTATCGACTTCGACCGTGAAGAGAATCTCCAATATAGTTTCATATCTTCGGGATAGGACGTTCGATTAATTTGCGCGACGTGCATCGCTGTGCAGATAAAGATCTCTTCATGTGAGATCATGGAGACCATCTATCTATTATTCTATGTATCTATTATTGATCCGCGTCAGTGACATACGTGAAATAGATACAATAGAACGTCACAGTCGAGTGCGATCCACGTCGAGCCTTCGATCGATCGACCAATTCGGCGATCTCTATTACTCTTCACATCTCCAACAATATCTCTGCTAATTCTCTCTTTCTCTCTCTTTCAATCTATACACCACACTATGACTATTATATACGCACACTGATCTTCTTAATGATGCCTCTCATTGACGTATCTAATGCACAATGACGGGTAACGACGGAGATAATAATTTTTTTTTTCATTATCATTATGTGACTTCCTATTTTTTCGTTGCTTTCTATTGTAATCTAAGACGCTCGTCGAAATGCAATGTCTTCGGATCGGAATTGGATTGTCCATTTCTTATTTTTTAAGTTTCATACGAAATGCAATAGACTGAAATTTTATTCAGAGAATTAATAATTAATAATTAAATAATAATTTTTTATGTTATGATTAATTACGATCTTTGTGGGAATTAAATTTTGACGCTTTCTAAGTAATTTAATATGAATTAATGTACGGATTGCGAGAATCGGATCTAAATGGTTTCAGTTTTGCGCAATGTATTTTAACAAATCGTCTATTGTTGCGGATCCTGTCGCCTGATTTCGATGGAATATTCAATGAATAAATTATCGATCTTCTACTCTGAACGATCACGCAACAACTAACTTTGTGCACATCTTTTCTTCGTAATTCCATCTACTTACGGACTTATACCGACTCTCTGTATATCTCTCTACGCTTGTCTATCTATACATTGATTCACTTTGGCACGGCACTCTCGCTCATACTTTGTTCCCTTATCACCGAGACCGAATTACACCGACAAAACTTTAAAAATTTATCCCGAGTCGACGATTTTCTCTCTATATTTCCATCCAGATTATAGATTCTATCCGTAGCGTAGTTTAGAAAAAGAGGTGAATGAGAGATGGTGATTGGATCGATCAAGGATTTACACGCCAATATTCTGACATTTGTCTCTCATCCCATTTATCGTAATTATTTCAAAATATAATTGTCGCGTGCAATGAACGTCACGCAAAATATAAAATATGTGATTCTTTTTTAAATAGATATAAAATTATCTATAAATTTGTTGGTCTTATTATTTTTAAGAACTTATTAATTAAGAAGGTGAGCTAATAGCCATCTGAAAAAGTTAATTCATATCAATTGTTATTAGTATCAATTAGTATTATTCAAATAGTAATTATTAATTGTTAAGCAATACGAACAACATTATTAGCGAAATACAGAGTATCGCAATGGAATTCTTAAACAATGGTATTGATGCAATCGGCTCCAATTCAGCTTTCAGTCGAACGGATTCGATGTGCGGTTTAATGCTAAAAGGAAGAAAGAAAGTCATTCAACATAATTACCTACCATACCTATGATACTCAATGCAATCTAATTTACGTCATGTGAAAAAAATTAAAAATTGCGAATCGCGAATTTTAACGGAAGCCCTTCAGAAATATCGGGGATGTCTCACTGACGACGCGTTTCCGAGCGAGGAGAGTCCTAACACCGGTGAGAGGACGCGACACCACAATCAATCAAATCCGACTACTCTCACAGCCACACTGATTACTTACGCAAACATCAGCATTTCAATGAGACAAACCGTCAAGAATGTGTCACCCTTAACCCTCAAGCTCGCGTTCCGCGTGAGAAACAAACTGTGCGAGGACTTTGCGTTGATCCTTAACAGGTACGATGGAAAATATTGGTAGGGAAAAATTCAACAAAATGAAGTTAACTGTGAAAAAATAGGATGTAAAATTTAACATTTTTGTGATAAAGGAGGAAAACAAATTTTAATTTTGAAACTTACAACTACCGGCGATAAGTATTTTATTTATAATTAATTGCGAATATTATATACGAGATGTAATATTTATTTTAATTACAACTATAGACTTAGTTCTCTCTTGCAGCATAATATTTGTTACGACAAACTATGTAAAAGTATGCAGAATATAATTTAATATTATATTCGATTGTGAAAGAATAAAAATGACCAACAATGAAATTTTTTCCATCGTACCACTTAAGATTATACTTCAGCAATATTAAAAACAATTTATACATATTGGATAGAAAATAATGAGAGTTCACAAAAGATTTCTGAAATTTCTATTTAATTATAATAGTTAATAATATAATAATAAATTAATATATCCTGCAAAAAGATTATTAATACGCGTGCAATATTAGCGTAAGAATTAATTATTCATGAGAAAGACAGAGAGCGAGAAAGAGAGAGAGAGAGAGAGAGAGGGAGAAAGAACTAAGATACTTGAATTATTTTAGTGTACATATCCTA